AAATATAATTCAGGATGGATCAAGTTATCCTCTTAATTACTCTTAACTGTACACCAGTGCACCTTCTCTAATGTCAGCATAGCTACCACTGATGTCCAGTGGTGTGAAATCAGTATGAGATTTCATTTGATATGAGTATGCAGAAGGTTAGATCATCAGATGGTCAAAGTCAGTGTATTTGCTCCTATTTTCATTAACTAAGTATGTGGATCCCAGCACTTGCCATTTGGCATGGAAATGTTTTCTGTTGTTTCTTCATATTTTTGACAGACATATTCATATGTATAAAATGAATCGGCAATGTGGTTCAAGGATCCTGTAGGTACAGATCCATGTAGCTAATTGATTTTAATAAATCTTCTAAGATCTCTCATTCTAATGCATCATAACCATCCTTTTTGTATTCTTTCTTGTGCAATATTTTGTTTTTGAGAGATATTTCTACAGTGAAAAGAGTTAACAGCAGGTAATGCCATTCATCTCAGAAGGAGTTTGAGATTTTCAGTGTTAGTGATGAATGAGGGTATCTGACCCACATCTGTTTTACATTAGAATGGAACATTGCCCTGACATCGTTAGGAGCATTTGTCAAGATTCCCTGGACAGAGCTTCTGTAAATTACATGCTGCAAATGTGTCAGGGTCAGATAAGAGGATATCATTAACTCCACTAAAGTTTACTCATGATTCTGTCAGTTCAACTTAATACGTTAACTACCAACAATTTTCCTTGAGCTGTTTCATTAAATCTTTCATTCACAGGAGGGGAAAAAAAATGTATCACTGTACCCAAAAAATATTGCACATGTTCTTTTCTCATAAATCGTATTAATTGCAGACATGGTCACAAAGCATATTAAATGCAGGCATGCGTAAATGAATTAAAACATATGAGAATTTTATTGTGCTTATGGTAGGTCCTACATCCTAAAATACCATCCATGTTAACAGGCATAATGTTTCATTTAAATAGAATAAGCTTTTTCTCAGTTTAATGGCCTTTATTTTGTTGATAATAGAAGTATTTTCTAATAGCTGATAATGGACCAGATGTTTCATACATGGTCTTTAAGGCTTTCATCATTCAATTTCTCTTTCTGGATCATATTCTCAGCTAGTGATGCTGTGCTGACCCCACCAGCAAGGGATTTGTCCTAATGGATATTTTGGATTGCTTGGGATGTGCTCTCTGTAAACTTTCTGTAGAGTTTGGTTGTTGCAGTTCACTCTGTTCTCTTTGCTTATTCCTAATTGGACCTTTGCTTTCTAATAGAATAGAACTATTTTATCAATTTTATATACTGTCTTTTGTTGTATAAGCTCAAAGGCTATGCGTCACCATTGCTGTGTGTTTTGTAAAAAATGCAAACAAAATATATGTAGCCAAAAAACTTACAGCCTGATTTTTTTGCGTTTCTAGGAGTTCTTTTCTAAAATAAATTGAATGGTTACAGCAGCATTTGGTTCTAGGTGTTAGATCAGCCCTTGATTTTTCTTTCAACTTCTTTGGGATCCAGATCAGCGAGGCCAACAATTACTACTTTGGCTCTCCCAAAGTAGTTCAGAGGGAAGTACATCTTTTCCAGTAATTTGGATGGTATATGGATAGAATAAATTTATTTTCTTCCCTAATTATTGTAAAACAATCAGATCTGTTTACTTATTTAGTAGTATACTGTTTCATACCAGCAGATCTGAGTTGCAAAATCCAGATCTTGGTGCATCTCTTGTACACCACTAAGCTGAGGGTGCTGAGCATCTTGCAGACATGGCCCATTAATGGCTTTCTAATTGATGAGGTGAAAGTCAGCCATGCCCTTCCTGTAACTCCTTGTATGGGTAATAAGGTCATGGCACATACCGTACGAAAGACTTCTGCCCTGAGGTTACTTCCCTTAGAGCTTTCAAAACAGACATGACCAAAAATCTAATTATTTAGATACTAATCAACTGCAGGATGATTCCAAAGGCCTCTGAAGAAGATATTTCTGTGAAGATGGTTACTGTTCAGACTTCAGTTTTCTCCACCTCAGAGACTGAGCGCTGTGCCAGTTCTGCTCCAAAGTGTCTATTAGATGCATATACACTTAATAAAAAGATGCCTGAAGACTTGTATTATTTAATTAATTTAAATTTTTTAAAGGAAATCTTATCAAATGCTAATTTTAGTTTGTCAGAGAAGATAAATCTCTATCCAAATATAGATGCTACTGAAGTTTGAGTGCCTTTTGAGACCAGGTCTGGATCCAGGTTTAAATTTCAAGGCTGATCTCTAACTCTAAAATAACTTCCAATCCCAACACTTTTGAGCTCACTGTCTTTGCTGTCGAAGTCCAAATAATGTTTTCTTGGGCTCTATTCTATTGAAAACATTAAACAGAAAAAAGTTTAGTTAAAGTATGTAGTTGGTAAAATAGCTATTTGGCTTACTCAGTAGCGGGTCCTTGAACTCCTGGTAGACTCAGCGTGTGATGCAAGAGGGCTCACGCAGAGAAGGGTGCCGCTGGGACTCCAGCAGGGCTGCGAGAGCGACACAAGCCCAGCCCATTCTCCCTGCTCTTGAACTTGGAACAGAACGTGGTAAAGCCTTGTAAATATTGGTATCGCAGAGGTGCTATGTGGGAATGGAAAGGGCTGGGCACTTACTTCAGATTTCTGATAAACCATGTGTGTTTTAAACTGTAGTCAAAACCATGATACTTGTGCCAACATAAATATTTTCCAAAGTAGTAATTTTCAATGTAAATGTTTAAGTTAAGCTACGTTTTTGTGGATCTTTCTCTTCTTTTAACTCTATTAGTGTTAAACGACAAGGATTAATATAATCTAAATGAACATAGGTTCTAATATTACATCCTACTGATGCAATGTCAGATCATTAAGCATCCTAGATTTTGTCAATTTCCAAAGGTTCAAGAAAAATATTTGTAATTCCTACAATACAAAAACTTACTGAAATAATCTATAGAAATTTTAATAGTTTTCAGGAACAATTTTTTAGATTAAAAAGTTGAGAGCCCAGTTATTTCAGCTTTTAGGGTTTTTTGGGACAAAATGCTGTGCAGGTTGTTGTGCAAATAACAAGATTTTTCAATCTGTGGTGATTCCAGAGATTTTTTAAAATTGTTTTTTATTAACCTCAAATTCTTTTAATAGGTTTTGTGCATTGAAAAGATTATTTGAATTAAATAGAAAATATCTTATAGCCTGAATCCAAATTCTTCTTTTGTGTTTTTAACTTAAAAGTTATAAGATTTCAGCATCTAAATGAAGTCTTTGGCTATGTTTTGAAACTTCTTTTTGCATGAACGCTTCAGTTTGCGAAACTTTCAGTAAATACTATCAAACTCATGTTTTTCTGCTTAATGAAATGGAAGTGAACATTCTAGGGCTCTAAGTAATAATTGAACTTCTCTTGGCGTCTTTTTTTTTTGGTGAGATGTCTTGGGTGCATCTGATACAGAGATGTTTTGTGTTCTCAATGTGGGTATCTGGGTGTCTCTTTTTGAAGTACTCTGCTTGTGCTTCTTGCTCTTCCTTAGCAGACATGTAAGACCTGGGTAGGTCTTCTTTCCTACTTAAATCACGATTCCTGGGTCTTGTTTCATTTATTTATTAAAAACCAAACAAAACTCAGAGCTGGGACCACAAGTTCCCTACAATAATAATCCCTCTTCTTTTGTGATGGAAAATAAATACAATTCAAGAAGGAGCATCAGAACTTTAGGAACCAAACATGTTCTTATAAGCATTAATTTATTCTTTACAAAATAGACTCAAATTTTAATAATTTCTTTTTAGTTTATGGTAAGAAGGGCAGTAAAGCAAAATGACTATCAAATAGCATATGTCTGATATTTGTAATGCCTTTTTGAAGGAAGAACAACCTGTAAAGTATCAGAATATGCTGTTTTGTCAGAAGCTGTACATCAGCCATCCGTTATAAGCTGCAGACTATTTCTCAGGCTTTGAAGTGCAACTTACTCCAGAAGTAAGCAATTCTCTCAGTTGTACTTATTTTCAAAATGTGTTATAGGGATGTGCCAGGAAAGGAAATGCACACCAACTTATAGTGTGAGTGATTTTTGTACAAGAACTTATCACTATAGCTTCCTTCACTCCTGATTGAAAGCACAGGTGCTTTTGAAATTTTTTTGCTCTTCTACTGGAAATTATGGCCTAGAGGGCTGGGCTTTTATAGGGACAAGCATGTATTTTCCAGTAATCTCTTTTCAACTAATCTTGACTGCTGATTTCATAACTGTTCATGTACAAGCAGCTTATTAAGGGAGTCACAGTTGACTCGAAGCTGGTCTGGAACACTTGACTATTTCTGTTGTGTCCTCTAACTTAGGGGATGAAGTTGAGAACTGGTGTTATGACCAGCACTTTACCCTTTCGCATTCACTTCTCCACAGGCCAGCACACAGGGCATGCAGCAGCAGGAGTTATGGCCACTCAGCCCCTTCCCCATGTGTTCAGATTGTTCTGGGTGCTGTGATTCTATGTTACTTCCATTGGTAGTGATGCTGAGATCAGCTCCAAATTAATTTCATTTTAATGACTGCTGATCTTGGAAAAGAAAATTGTGTGAGGTTTTTCACAGCTTTTCTGTGTTTGTAGATCATGCAGGACAGTATGGCTAAAGAGCCACTACATACTTCTTATTCTCTTGAGTCCTCAAGGAATAAACATCTGCAAAGATCCCAGCTGGGGCATAGGAGGATCAGGCACTCTAAAATCATAAGTTTTTAAAATGATTTTTCCTTATTTGCCCTTAGTATCACTTTTTATTGGTTGTTAGCCATCAGCTTTTTTTTTGATGGATGATGCAACCAAATTCCACTTCCTCTTTGGATGAGATACTCAAAGCACAGTTTGAATACCCAGTCTACCTATTTTAGGAAATCAAATGATAGACTTGAGAACTCCTGTGGCTCTATAAGCAATACAGTTCTTCACATATGTTAACCCTTTCTATTATTCTGCCTTTTATTTTAGGTAATGGGACTCCTGACTAACCATGGTGGTGTGCCTCACCAGCCCCAAACTGATTATGCCCTGTCCCCTTTAACTGGGGGCCTGGAGCCCACCACCACTGTCTCAGCCAGCTGCAGCCAGCGGCTAGATCATATGAAGAGTTTAGACAGCCTGCCTACATCCCAGTCCTACTGCCCACCGACTTACAGCACCACGGGTTACAGCATGGACCCTGTCACAGGCTACCAGTATGGACAGTACGGACAAAGTGAGTATTGGGACGTTTGCACTGTGAAGCGCAATACAGTACCCGTTTGTCAATGGTCTGTACTTTCTGTCTGTAACAAAGAAAATTATGAGCAGAGATCCTTATGGCTGACTACTACTTCCCTCCAAAGCTGAGCAGACTGCACTGGTGAGATAGCTGATTGTTCGAGCAAGATTTCTGCTGCATAATTATTTTCTTAAGTGATGTCAACAACATCTTGATGTTATTAATTGTTGAGACATGAAACCTGATTGCCATTAGGTAAAACATAAGGGTTGTCCAAAATGAAATAACCACTGGCATTCCACTATTAGAAACACATGTTCTTAATGAGGTCAGCTCAAGAATCATTACAGTATATAATCCCAGATACATAGAGTTTTGTCAAACTTGTCCTAGGAATAAAAATATTAGTCCCTTTCCTTTGATATATCAGTATTAAATATGACAATGTCAACCTGTAGTTGGCATGGCCCCATGCTGTGAGGTTGTCACAGCATGACTTAAAAAGCTTCTTTCGCTTTTTTTGCAGGTGCCTTTCATTATCTGAAGCCAGATATTGCATAAATGAACTGTCCACTTCAAGTTGAAGCTGGTCTTGTTTTCCGGTCTCACTCCAAGGCTTGGATACGAGGGATCTTCTCAACGCACTGCAGTCTAAACTGGGGCAGTCCCATTGAGAGAAGCAGGCTTGTTATGTTCTCTCCAGTCATAGCTTTTAGTAGACTTTTGAAGGCTGGACAAAGCTGTACAGAAGACAAAGTCCAAAAGCAATAATGAATAAGTAAATGCGACATGGTTCATTATGAGTGGGTATACAAAACAGAGCAGTATTTAATATCACTGCCTGGCACAACATTCCATTTTTTGTTGTTGAAATTAATGTGCATTGATGGGACAAATGGAACATTTTGAAACTTAGAGCAGTTGAGCTCTGCGTGCTCTGACTCATCTGACATCCAGTACTGACTTTAGTCTAACTTAAAAACTGCTCAGTTTCTGAAGCAAGGGCAGGAGAACCTCTTTCATTTTACACACTGGAAATTGTCATCAAGAGGAAATGTCACAGTCCATAGGAAGCTAGGATAAGTGCAAAAGACTTCCAGAGCAACTTATTGGTTACCTTACCATGCTTTTGTAATCATGTTGTCAATAAATGTCACTTACAAGTTTTGCTTTACCAAGAGACGAGGTCTTGTGTAACGTGAAAAACAGATTTTACCTTTTTGTATGTGGAGACTTCCTAGTCTGTTTTACCTTTTCGAACAAACATGGGAGAAAAATAAATCAACAACAACACAACTGATTTTTCACAACTGCCTAGCAATGTGCAATACTGTGTACCTCACACAAACTTTGGGATCATCCGAAGTCATATAGATAGAATCAGAACTATATTTTTGCAGGTACTTTTATTTTTGCAGTGCGTAATTCCTGATAATAAAATACAGAAATGTTGCAGTCTGCTGGATGACTAAAATCCAGCTTGCTAATCATGATTTAAAGGTCATTTTCAGGAAACAATACGAAGAAATTATTACGTTTACATTTTTTTTAGTGATGTACAGGACATAGACAGAGATGGACCTGTATTTGACACATTTAAATTATACAGCAATATCCAATATAGAAAATATAGGAACCAAGGTTTACAAGAAGTTTGCATTGTGACATTTTAGAATGTCAATAAATTTGTGTTTTGTGTTGTTGAGAGGAAGAGGAAATGGAAGGCAGTGTTATTTATTTCTCTCGATTCTTGGAACAAAGAGGGAGGCAGAACACAAATACATTCCTTTTAGCATTAAGGACTATGAAGTAGTGAGTTAGACTAGGTTCAGTACAGAGGTTAGTTCACACATTGGTCTTTAGGGTGATGGAAAAATGAAATATTATCTTTGTGTTGCAGCCTCTACAACAACACACGTGTTGTAAAAAAACAAAAAACCAAACCAAACAAAAAACAAATGTCTTTCATGTAAAAAGTTCAGTAAATATTTACTATTTATAATGAATAAACATTATGAAGACTTGCAAAGCACTGATGATTTTGTCCTAAAATGTAGTGTTGTGGTAAATACATTGATACATTTTAATCTGAGTATCATGAAGAAATAAACCATGTTATCTTCAATGCAAACTGTATTCATTATGTAAGCATATTCTGCACACATCCTAGGTCCGTGGGAGCCTCAGGCAGCCTCTGTGCCCAGCTACTGCTAATGTGCCACCTGGAGCTCTGTGTTCGTTAATGAACTATGCATTTCTCAAGTGCTCTTGGTACCAGTAGTATGTCTTCCCAACAAGAGAAAAGTGTTGTGCCTTTGCTGCGTATTTAAAAGTAAAATAGGCTTAAACCCAGCATGAGTTGGGCAACTGAGATGGCTTCATACAACGCAAGAACTTTGTGATCAGTTATGGGTGGTACCTGTCCTGAATTTTTTTTTTTTCCCTTAGAAGCTTTAAGAATTTTTTAACAGGCTTACACACAAGCTGATTGAAACACAGGCAAGACCCTTCAAATCAAATGGAGTAAGTTTTAGTGGCACATCAGTGTGTGAGGAAATTTTACTTTACACTAGGCTTGGTGGACATCTAATTTCCTCACCATTTTGTGTGGGATGTTAACAACCTTGAATTTCTTTCAGCTTCTATTTCTGTGTGCATTTTATTTTTGGTTTATTTTTATTTTGTTCTTTTAACTCTAGACCTCTTCCACTGGAAAAGGAAGGAATATACTTTTTGAAAAGAGAGTGTTAAATACTGAAAAATGGGGGAAGGGTATTTCTTTTTTTCCTTCCAGTTTATGTTTCTCCGATATGCTTTTAATTTCTGTGACAATTAAAATTTAAAAGGCTCTTATTAATACCTATTCCCTGCTCTAAACTGCTAATTTTTCTGATTTTTTTCGATGTTGCTTCCCCTCCCCAAGGACTTGACCCTTGGCATTTGTCTTGTTTCCTAAGCTTGCTGCAAAGGCCAAATAATCCTCTTTTTCCCCACTTGCAATCCCTTTGCTGTAAAATGCAGGATAAAAGCCTGCTTGCTTGCACAGTTTGGAACTGGATGATGTCTGTATGAGTGCTCCTTCCCAGGGAGAGTGTACCTTTGTCAGAGGATGATTTGTTGTCTGTCCTTTTCTATTCCAGCAGCTGTGAGGGGTGGGACAGAGCTGTGATTTCTCCCCCCATCCCCGCAGTGCTACTGAGGTGCTTTCCCAACCTGAAGTTAGACAGGGGGCACTTTGGCTGCTCCATCCTCTTTTTAAGTGTCTCCCAAGCACTTCCTTGTGTGAGAGGCTAATGCAGAGCAGGAGAGCCTGGAAGCAAGACAGATACGGAGAAAAGCATCCAGTCCTTTTGCAGACAAGCCATGCAAGCAGGGAACTGGGATGAGCTCTTGCCAGAGGAAGCGAGGAGCCTGGGGCAGAGGGACAAAGCAGTTTCCTGATTTGTGATGCACCATAGGAATCTTTGACAGAGCCGTAAGGATTACTTGGGATACTGTTGATCCCTTCTTGTTATCACTATCAAGGCTGAAGAGGTTCTTGGGAGCCACGTGTGTTTCTGGAATACAAATCCTGAACACTCAGAAAGTCAAAGGGGCACAAGCCTACCATGGATATTGCGTTTGAGAGAAATGCTGTGGAATAGCTTGGAGGAATGTGCTTGTAGCAATGGAGTCCAAAACCTGCTCACTGATGAGTGCAGAAAGGATAGATCTTAGGGTCCTTCTTCTTTTTATTTGAGGGGGGTGGGGGTGGAGGTTGCATATTTACAAGATGGAAATAAATAATACCAGCTGCTTAACCAACTGTCTGTCATATCATAGATATAAGAATTGGAAACTCTTGAGAGACAGGCTTTGATGAAATAATATTTATTCCTTGTGGCACAATGGTGATTTTTAATTTATTCTTTGCTTTTAAATCTTCCTTTATCTACAAATAACCTCTACTCCCAGGAAAATACCCAATATATGCATTTTGGCATATATTTACATTGGTATATGTTACTATTCCTTTATTTGAGCATGTATAATATTTAATGAATGAGCTAGGAAAAGAATTATTTTGGATGGCACCTATTTTCCTTCTGTTTTCCCTGGATAATTCAGTGTATACCACTGAAACGAAACCTGTAAATAAACATTTTTCTCCAATAATCACACAGGTTTTTCTACTCAATATTGCTGAAAAGTCTTTTGTCTGTCCATGTGACCAATGCTGTTATTGTATCTTTCTAGAGCGATTTTGAAAGGCATGAAATGCCTATCTGAACCTACAAATCTTCACTGAAAATAGCTGATTGTTAAACAGATCTATGTCCTTAGAAATACATTTCTGCATCTATGTGATATTAGGCCTAGATATTTAATCCCTAGGTTAAGGTCTGTGCAAATTCAAACTTAAAAAATCTGGCTACAGGTCTGTAACCTGATCACCAAACTTAATGAAAAAATACAAAGTGACTTAATTTCGGAAATCCAAAACCCACTGCAAATTATCAAATGCTACTAATAATTTATGTAGCAAGGATATATTTGCATTTTCTCAGAAGTGTGACAAATGATAGTGTGCAAATTGTTTGTAATGTCTGAATTCTGTGATATATTGTCGTACATGTAAGAAATGTATTCCCTGTTGGTTAATGCTAATGTGTAAAGCATACATTTTTGCTATGTTAGTAACCATGAAAGTTCTCAATGTTTCCTATCCATAAAGTCTTCTGGCCTGAAAGTCTATAAAGTGGATTACTAAAACGTATCTCTGTATAAAATAACAAGAAATTAATTTAAGGCAATATCAATGAGACCATCAGAAACCTGGAACAGCTTGAATTCATAAACCTCTTTGTATTGTTCACTTCAGTATTCTGTTGCTCACTTAATAATTGCAAGAAAACCTGCATCCTGATTAGAAGAACTCATTATTTTGACTTTTCCAATGATATCTAGATATTGCCGAGAGCCAGACAAAAATAATCTGGAACAATATGAACAACTACACTAAATTAAATTGCCAAATTTCTGTTTAATTAACATTAGGTAGGTATTATGTTTAGACTATATATATGACATTGCAATGCTCATTTGCCACTGCCTAAAAAAGTCTTGTGTGTCTTTCAGTTTATTCTGTAGCTAGTGTTATCATAAATCATTGCCTATATTTATACAGTCATAGTGTGATCTTAAAGAATTACATGAGTTGATCTAAGTACATTCAAGATATTTTTCTATTGTAAAATAACCCAAATTGCAGTCTGTTTCTGCGGTCATTGTAGGTAATAGGCCATTTGGCCTGTCAGATTTTCAATACCTATTCTCTCCCAGCACTTCTGGGCAACTCATTGCAAGCTGGGAAGTTCTCATCAGTCACAAAGAGCAAAGTGCTTTAGGTAGATGGTTAGTCAGGTTCAAAAACTTACAATTTTTTGCAGTACAAGCAGGCTTCAAAATCAGTACGTATACATAGTGCGGGTGCTCAGTTCTGTTTTGCTGTTGTGGTTCCACAAGCAACGCTTTGCAGTGCTCACACATAGTTTAAATCTTTGCTTTAATGCATTTGTATTGCCTCAGAACTGATGACTGAATAGGCTCATAATCCAGAGTGCCTGTGGATACCTTGGGTGCTGCAGCTTTTTGACATGCACTGTTTATTC